TGATTCCATGCCAGAGCATCTAGAACCCTCACAGGGGACAAATCTATTCAAACCACTCGGACATGCATTAGCTGCTTATCCCTCAAAAGTAGGCCACATGGGACTTGGCACACCCTGAGGACAATATCTGGGCATTTCTTACAGAGACAAAATGCTTGCTCACTGCTGGGTGGGCGGGCAGAGGCACCTGTGGGAAGCGGTCGTGTGGCGGTGGAGCCCTTGGTGCTCTTCTGGTCTGCTTCCTGGTCCCTAGCTGCATTACAGACAGCCTGGGAGGGTGGTCCTGTTGAGACTCCTGCGTGTGACATCCCTCCCTCTGTGTGCCCATCTTTCCACTAGAAGCTGCTCAGGTGACCCCAATATGGGTTGTTCCTCTCCTTCGGGGTGGTGTTTGGGGAGGAGGGAGTTGAAGGGGACAACCACCAGCACCAAACCCAGAAGCGTGGGCTCTGGTCCCTTTTCTGCCAGCTACTTGCTGTGTGATCTCAGGATCTATGGTCCCTAGGGAGGGTGGTGTTGGAATTTTGGATGGGACACCTGGACATCTACTTACCTGATCTGTACTCACCGAACACTTGTTGCATTCCACTTAGTGACCATTGGAGAGTCCCACTTTTTCCCAGGACTAAGCCACTCCTCCCAGAGTGGCTCAAGGATTTCCAATTCTCTCTCTGTCTCTCTCCCTTCCTCTCTCTCTCTCTCTCTCTCTCTCTGACATTCTGGTGTTCTGGGGAAATTGGGAACTCTGATCTCTTCTTGTCATGTGCCCTTTTCTCCCCTACCATCCCACCATGAGAAGTCCCATCACTCCACAGCCCTGACTCTACGTCTTCACCGTCAGTCACCCCCACCCCCAATCAAAACTTGCTCTCTGTGTCTGACATCTGGCTCTCTGCTGGATGTGATTATCACCACCAACTTACTTCGCCAATTACGATAGTGGCTCAGTGCATCAGCAGAGAGGTGTGATGACTTCCTTTCCCCCACACAGACTCTTAGATGCTGGAGTTGGAGATGTGGATGGATCAGTTCATAAGTGGGAGAAGAGAGCTGTGGCAGGGGAGGGGATGCAAAAAATCCAGCCAGTAACTCTGTACCTGGACATGGCTTCCTGGCTTCCCCTCCTAATCTTCTCTCCAAGTTAATGCTGCCAGATGACTCTCTGTGTACCAGTACTAGAACCAGAAGGCAGAGAGGGAAACACATGTGGACTCAAATCCCAGCTCTGCCCCATACTACCTGTGGTACTTGGTGTGACTGTCTTAACTCCACTGAGCTTCAAAGACCCTCATAGAATGACCTGGATATGCCTGTGACCACCAGTATCACCACTCCCTCTCCTTCCATTCAAAAGATGCCAGCGGCTTCCTACCAGAAGAGAAGATATAAGCTCCTCCATAGTATGGAGGGATCTGTGATCTTCCTGTTCTTATTCTAGCGTTCAGTCCCAATGCATCCTGCATGCAGCCCACTGGGTCTCCTCTGCTCCAGAATAAACCAATCCATGCCCTGATACAGTCAGATTCCAAAGCCTCCACCTACAACTAGGCACAGAGGATCTGAATTGCAAGACCACCCATTGCTACCTGGGTGAGGCTGTGGGCTCACCTCTCTGGCTGAAGTCTGAGCCCTCTCTCCACCTGCTGTGCTGGGTCCGTCCCCAGCAGCACGGGGACTGGCAGCCTGGGGGCTTGCCTCTTGCTGATTCATGTATGTCCTCCCAAAGTGTCTGCAAGTGTTCGCTGAGTGGGAGTCTGGGGCCACTATCTAATCTGCTTCTGGGCTATTGGCCAAGGGGCTGTGTCACATCCACCCTGAGTTAAGGTAGCTTTGATCTTTGCAACTACTGGGTGCAGTCAGTTTCCTGGTTTTCCTTAGGGGCTGCCCAAGGCCTAGGATTGCCCTCTGCCTTAACTGGAAATATGAGAAGGACCCCGGCTGGGTCTGAGGTTTGCCTTACGATGCTCTGATGTCTTGGGTAGAATCTCTTGCTGAGGGCCTGAACATATACTCATGTATCGGTCTCTATCATCTCTCAGTCTCCTTCCTGCCTACCTGAGTTCCCAGTGTTCTGTGCCCTCTGAACTTGGGCAGCAACAGCCCTCACTGCCCCCCTGGCAGTCTCAGGAGAGGCGTGGTGGGCTTGTTTCCTGTGCGCTGTATTCTGCAGTGACATGACGACATGCCCATGGCTATTTAACAGCCTCTGGAAGATGAGTGAGGGTTTCACCACCAGGCTCAGTGCTGGGGAGGTAGATGTGACTGACCCCACCAAATGCTAATATCATGGGCCAATTAGTGGTACAGTCGGGCTCCCTGCATGGCCACCATCCCCAGTGGTTTAGGGCCCCTTGTGTTGCTCTATTCTCCAGAAGGTCTTGACAACCTTCCACCCCATAACTTCTGCATCCTTTCTTAGAGTGTTTCATGGGCAACCATAGGGGGTGTTTAGTGCAATAGAAATGGTGTGACTTTTTAGGGGCCATGTACTTAAAAATACCTATACACTGATTATCTTGAGGAACAAATCAGACCATATACAAAGGCTGGTTGCTGAGATGTGGTGAAAGAATCATGAATTTGAGCCCTGGTTTTGTCACTTATGGAGGACATTGGTTTTCTTCTTTGTGTTTGTTTTTGTGGGTACCTGGGATCGAACTCTGGTCCGCTGTACTTGCAAGGCAGGCGCCAGAACCACTGAGCTAAATCCCCAGCCCCAGGAGATTGGTTTTCTAGGGTTGCCATGAAACCTTACCACAAAAAAGCTGGCCAGATATGCTATAGCAAGGCTTCAGCAGACCACACCTGCTCAGGAGCTCCAGGGAGGACCCTTTCTTGTGTCTTCTGGCTTTTGGTGCCGGAAATCTTTATCTTCCTCTGGTTTCCCTCTTCCCTCTGAGTGCCACTTATAAGGACCTAACATTGGCTTGAAGACCCATGTGGGCAGTCAGAGATGATCTCATCCTGTGAGCCTTACGTTCCTTGCCAAGATCCCTTTTCCAAACAAGGCCACCTTCACGTGTTGTAGGGGATAAGATGTAGACACATCTTACTCATGTCACCATGGGCCTCATCTTTTTCATTTATTTATAAAGTGGAGCTAGCGTTCCTAGCTCACAAAGCAATCGTGAAATTAAAGTGAAAGAGCTCATCACATAGTACATGTTGAATAAGTGCGTATTTTGAATCCTAACAGTTCCAACTCAGTGGTGCTCAGAGGTCTTTGTCACCGTTCATTATGGGCACCCTGGGCATCTTTTGCTGGCGCCTGCCGTTCTCTGTGTTCCTAAAGGCACTAGCATGCTATCTTCTAGGCAGAAATCACTTACATGCACTTTTTTTTTTTTTAGTACTAGGATCGAACTTAGGACCTTGCACTTGCAAGGCAGGAGCAGCACCACTGAGCTAAATCCCCAGGCCCTTCATGAACATTTTTAAAAGAAGTGATAGCCCTAGGCTAGACTGGCTTTCCTAGTCCTCAGGACCATGGGAGACCCAGAAGGGGCATCTAGGTTCTCCACTGGCCACTAGGGGGGAGCTTACGAGCCAGAAGATATGGATCCTAGATTCAGCTCAGCCACCTTGGAGCTGTGTGACCTTAGGCCCAAGTCCCTTACCTGAAAGCAAATGATACCCATCTTGTCAGCCTGGTTCAGCCCCTCTGAAAATGGATTGGGATGACATAGTTGTAAAGTTCTCCTCGAATATAGGGTCTCATCCTCATTCCAGCTCAGGCTGACAGGCACATTCCCTGCCCCCAGGGCCTGCGCCTGCTGGATCCTCTTCCTTCTCGGATGTGCTTCTCTGCCTCCCCACCCTCCTCTCCAGACTTCCCCTCCTCATCCTTCACCCAGGCTGAGGTCAGGCCAGGGCTTCCCCACTCAGCCAGTCAACACTCAATCAGCCTGGCCCCGAGGGGAGATTGTACCAGCTGGAGCCTCATGACTAGAGACTTTGCATCCAGGCACCTGGCCTGCCTCCCTGTGTGGGGAGTTGCTGGTACTGTTAGGACCAGCCTGACACAGGGAGACAAGACTCATTGAGCTGCCACGCCGGGGAAGGCCTGGCAGGGCCCCTGGCTCCCAAGCACATGAAGGGAAGAGGAAGGAGAACAGAGCACTGTAGGGCAGCTAGGTCTTGGTTCAAGTCTGCATGTTGGCGCCCTCAGCCTCAGTTTCCTTGTCTGCAAATGGGAACAAGAGTCCTTAGCAGACCTGTGGTGAGGATCATTCAGGGGAGGAAACTGACGTTTACTAAGTTCGTCCAGTGTGCTGGACGCTGGGAGCTGGCTTTCCCCTTTAATGGATGCACCTCTGCAGAAGTAAGATGGGAAAAGCAAGGTGTGGATGTGAAGTGACTCATGACAGCAAGAGATGACATCTGTAGTTGACTCCCAGAGCTGTAGCTCCAAGGTCAGAGTTGGACCCCTCCTCCCAGCATGGACCCTGATCCCAGGTGGGAAAACATCCTCAGTGTTGGAGGAAAGGGGCTCCACTAGCACAGTCACCCCTGTGGGTGGCCAAGGACCAAGGCCCGATGACAAGCACTCACCACTGGCCCTTCCTGTCTTGGTGGAAAACCTCAGGGAGTCTTGCCACTTCCTGTCCCCCAGACACTCCCAGACCCGCCCCTTCTCCTCCACATCTCCTATGTCCTCTCTGGGCTTCTTCCCTCTTTCTGGCCCAGCACCAAGCAGCTTGGGAGGGATCCCCAAGGAGAGCCCATCTCCCTGAGCCTTGCTGTGGGCCTGGCCACTGTGCTGCCTATGGAGACAGACGCACTGCTTGCTCCATGGGGTTTTGGGGAACTCACACTTGCCTACTTTGGGGCCTTGAGACAGAGGAGCCAATCTCAAAATGATGAGAACTTGGAAGCTGAGCCTGGCGGGCTGACGTGGAAGGGGCACTGTGTGGGAAGTGAGTGGGCATCTCTGAGATTCCCTCAACAGCTGTCCAGGGACCTCGTCGGACAACAAAGCATCAGCTCTTCTCTGTTCTCAGGGTCCTGACAGTGTCCTGAGCTGGTGATAGACACCTGTGGCTTTCGCTTGGATTCAGCCCCCAGATTCCTGCAAACATGACCCTGGCGGGTAAGTGCACACATGGTCATGTGACAGCCCCTAGTAAGGGCGGCTTCTCTCTACTAGTGCACTTACGGGTGCCCAGAGACAAAGGGCTGGCAGACAATACACCCAAGGGCAAAGGAAGGTCAACTCTGGGTGGTTCGTGGGCTGACAGCTGAATTTTGCTTCCTTTTGGTCATCTATGGTTTTTGTTTGTCTGCTTTTTGTGTTTTTCAGTACTGGGGATTGAGCCCAGGCCTTTGCACTGAGCTAAATCCTCAGACCCCCTTTAAAAATTTTTTGTTGTTGTTGTTTTCTTTTGGTTTTCTTATGAGACAGGGTCTTACTATGTAGATCAGGCTGACCTTGAACTCATGGTGACCCTCGTGCCTCAGCCTTCCTAGTTCTGGGATTGTAGGCATGCACCACCACACCTGGCAATTTTTAAAATTATGAAACAGGTCTTGCTAAGTTATTAAACGTTTGATTCTTCTGCTTCAGTCTCCCAGGGTGCTGGGGTTACAGGCACACATCACCTCTGGCCACCTGCATACTTAAAAAAAAAAAGATTTTACAATGCCCACATAATATTTTTTCAGTTATGGGTACTTTCAAATTTGTAAAGGAAAATGAGGGGAACGTAGTAGAGCTAGGCTGGATACCGAGAGAGGCTGAGAAATCAGGGCCCAGGGCAGTGGGAAGGGACTACAGGAGCTGCCACAGCAGCCAGACTTGTGACCTCCAAACAGAGAAAGTCTTCATAAGCCACTTTTTTTTTTTGGTACTGGGGATCAAACTCAGATCCTTGCGCTTGCGCAGCAGATGGTGAAACCACTGAGCTAAATCCCCGGCCCATTAACACAGAAAGTCTTGATGCTGGTGGGGACATGCTCATGCTGGTGGACACTGGCCACCCTGGCCTTGACCACTGGGCTGGGAAGGTCAGTGAGGGTCCAGAGCAGAGGGTTGATGGTGAGGAGTCCCCCTCCTCAGGTGAGCTTCTGTCTTCTTCAGTCACCACTGCCCAGCACTGTCAGCAGCATGGAGTGGGGAGCTCAGGAGCCAGACCACCCTGGGGCAGGCAGGTGTTGGGGGTGGAGACAGCCAGGTCCCGGGGACGGGGTGGGGGCACCGAGGACCAGGGGCTGCACCTGAGAGGACTGTGCCTTCGGTGTTACGGGGGGAGGGTACCTGGGAGGGATGAGGGCCTTAGGAAGGCTGAAATGCCAATGAAGGACAGGGGCAGGTTGGAATCTTACGCAGGAACCCTAAAGAGGCAGCTCCAGCTCTGGCTGCTGGTGCTGGATCCCACCCCGGGTGCAGGTCTGGGCAGTTTGGGTGCCTTGGGCTGACTGGTGAGGACGCTGCCCCCCCTGAAGCCATCGCCCCCCACCCCACTTGCCACTGTTCCCACAGCCTACAAGGAGAAGATGAAGGAGCTCCCGCTCGTGTCCCTGTTCTGCTCCTGCTTCCTGGCCGATCCCCTGAATAAATCGTCCTACAAATACGAAGGTCGGTGAGCCCTAGTTAGGAAAGTGAGGGTGGGGCCTCCTGTGTCCTGTGTCCATGGTGCAGTGCCCGATCCCAATTCAGGCAACTCTGCTGACCATGGCCCACTCTCCTCCCCAGAACCTGAGTGCTGGAGCTGCAGGGGTGGCCTGGGTCATTTGTCAGTGGCTGGGGGTCTGAAGCAGGCCACACAGAACCCTCACTCTTGGATCACCTGTGTTCATTCCTGAACAAATCCATGCTGTGGAGGATACAAGGGACCCAGGCCAAGATCCTGTCCTGAGGAGCTCAGGCCAGAGGAGGGAGACTTGGGCGGTCACCAGGTCTCCTAGGGAGAGATGGAGATGCACCAGGATTGGGCTTCCCCTCTGGGGCTGTGACAGTGGTCTTGAAGGGACAGTCCACAGGGAGCGCTCGATGGCCATGTCCCTGTGCAGGGTGATCAGGGGACAGGTCATCTCCCAGGCCCTGGCTGAGAGGAAGCCATGGATTTGGTCTGGCAATGAGTGAGGGGGTGTTCAGATGACCTAAGACTGTTTTTTCTGTTTAGGCTGGTGTGGGAGACAGTGTAGGAGGAAAGGTCAAAGCCAGCGGAAAGACAGTGCTGACTGGAGAGAAAGAAGAGAACAGGGTAGGAGGGAGTCAGGCTGAGCCGTCAGAGGGACAGCAGGGCGAGGAGGGCCCGGGTGGGCGGCGGGTAGAGAACCCCACTATCCACCACCAGAGAGGCCACCTTGAGCAGGAGCTAAATCCTGGAGGAGGCTGGAGGTAGAGGCAGAAGCAAAAGTAGCCAGTGTTGCTGCAGCTGCTGTATAAACCCCGCACCCCGGCACCCCACTGTGGAGCCTCAAACCTCACGCTGGCTACAAATTCCTTCAGTTCTATCAGAGGCCACTGACCTTCGGTAGCAGTATGTGGGACGAAGCCAGAGACATGGCCACTGGCCTGCCTTGGGGACCCTGGCTCTCCCATGTCCATGTGCACGTGTGCATGCTTTCTGGGGGCACAGCCTGGCACAGGTGAGCAGCCCTGCTGTGCTCTCTGCAGCAGACACAGTGGACCTGAACTGGTGCGTCATCTCAGACATGGAGGTCATCGAGCTGAATAAGTGCACCTCGGGCCAGTCCTTCGAGGTCATCCTGAAGCCGCCCTCCTTTGATGGGGTGCCTGAGTTCAATGCCTCCCTGCCCCGGCGGAGAGATCCTTCGCTGGAGGAGATCCAGAAGAAGCTAGAAGCAGCAGAGGAGCGAAGGAAGGTAGGCACTGCCCTTCCCTCCCTCCCTCCATGTCAGCGTGAAGGGGAGGGAGCTGGCAAAGACAGGTGGTGGCCCTGAGTGGGTAGGGTCACCATGAACCTAGGATACCCAGACAGCACCTTTCATGTGGGCAAGGACTGAGATGCCACTGAGGGAAACAGTGAAGTCCCTGTCCTACAGGAGCCTACAGTTTGGTTAGGGGCATAAGACGTCTCCTAAAGGCGACCTGGTGTACATGGTGACAAGAGGAAGACACTGAATAACCCTGAGGATATAAGGGAAGTTTTCTTTCCCTAGGAGAGGGGAGGAGAGAAGAGAATGTCGTGCTATGGTGTGCTTCCAGCCTGTGGGGTCTTCTGTTTTTCCTTCTGGTCTCATGGCTGTACCCTGGTGCTAGCTGAGTGTGAGCTACTCCTCCTCTCTCAAGCAGGAAATGATCCTCTCTCCTCAAATTCCTGCACTGCTTCCTGTTGACTCCTTAAGGCATTTATCACTGGCTTCAGTCTTTTGTAGCTTATCTCTACTGGGGTTCTTCTTTCCAAAGTTGCTAGAGTAGCACCTGGCAGTCAGTATGAGATCATTTAGTATTTGTGAATGAGTGAATGATGGCAAAGAGAAAAGGGGCCCTGAGGATTTTCAGAAAAAGGCTGAAGAACAGTCAAAGCTCTATCAGGGGCGGGAGGATCCAGGAAGTGTCCTTGCTTCCCGCTTATGGGCTGGGCCACCAGGCTCGGAGAGGCACGTGTTCTGGATGCAGAGTGCTTAAGCCATGATGGTGAAGGTGTACGAAGGTGGGCTCACCCCAAAAGGCCTCTCTCTCCTGTGCATCCCCAGTACCAGGAAGCTGAGCTCCTGAAGCACCTAGCAGAGAAACGAGAACACGAGCGTGAGGTCATCCAAAAAGCCATTGAGGAGAACAACAACTTCATCAAGATGGCCAAAGAAAAACTGGCCCAGAAGATGGAATCCAATAAGGAAAACCGGGAGGCCCACCTTGCCGCCATGCTGGGGAGGCTGCAGGAGAAGGTAAGAAATCCTGGACAAGGGAGGAGGCTCCTGGAAGCTTTGTCTTCCTTCTGCAGCCAGCGCACAAGGAGCTGTGTACCATCTCCAGAGGAAGCACCCTTGGGCAAGACCCTTAGAGAGTCCCAAGGGGATGATGTGGGAAGCCACAGACACGAAACACAAACCAGGCTCTGGCTTCCTCATGGGATTTTCTGAACAGTGATATCACTGAAATTCCTCCTTGTGGTAGGGAATCGATAGCCCTTCTTTTTGGGCAAAACAGAACAGGGATAGACACGCACTGTATGTTCCTGGCTTCTTCCTTGAATGGACTGATTCGATTCAATAAAAGATGCTCACTTGAATTCTCAGCTCTAAGCCAAGGGCATGATGAGCTGAGGTGTCCACTGAGCAGGAAACAACTCCACATCTCATGATAGGAACAGAGTGAGTCACAGGTCTCTCAACAGGCTGCAGTAAACTCAGCAGTGTCACTGGAGTATCAGGAGCGTGAGAGACTGGGGCTGGTCCTCAAGTCCGCAGAGCGCAGCCCGTCTGCTGAGGACGTGCTCGCCTCCTCTCCTGATCACAAGGCTGCCCCAGTTTCTCCTTCAGCTCCTGGGAGGCTCCAGCTCTGTGTTTTATTTCCAGGAACCGCCTGCTGCGCGGTGACTCCCGGGACCCGATCGGTGGCCTCGTCCCATGGTGAGCAGTGTGGTCCCCACTCCTTCCTGCCCATCCACCTAGAATCTCAGGCCCTTGGCAACAGATGCCAGAAAGATGTGGCTTCTTCAGCAGGGACCTGAATGCTGCACAGGCCCTGGCACTGGCCAGTGGGGTGGCGTTGTGCTCTGCTGCTCTGTCCTTCGAAGGACAGCCAGGCCACTGCCAAGGACCACGGGGAGGGAAGCTCCCTTCCCGTCCCTTGGGTCTGATCAGTGAGGGATGACTTGTAGAAAACTCTTAGAGGAAAATAAATAAGTCTGCAGTTGGGATTGGCCGGTGCAGGGACCTGCCTGGGCTGGGCTCAGCCAGGAGCATTTGAAAGACTTTACAAAACACTTTCATTTCATCATCCTGTAATGATTCTGTGGTCCCTACAGGTCCACGAGGGGAGCAGGACAGGTGTGGCCCTTTCTGCAGATGAGGAAAGCATGTCAGAGAAGGTCAAATGACAGGCCTTGGTAGCACAGTTGACAAGTGGCACACCTGAGACTAGAAACCAGCTGTTTGGCTCCCGTCCAGGTGGCCTTTCCTGGCGCATCCTGGGGAGAACTGTTCACCACTGAGTCACTGCTTTTCATCACCCAGGGGCCCTTTGGGGGTCTAGAGAAGGGAGGCCCAAAACCCAGGGCTCTGCCCGGTGGGCTCACCTGAGAACAGAGGCAGAGTTAGGGGCGGAGCTATCGGAAAGGTTCCCATTCTGGAATAAGTGCTGTAGAGGTGAACTAGACTCCAAGAAGGAAGGCGTCAGAGCAGACATCATGGCTCGGGAACCCTGATCCCCACTCAGCTGTGCCCACTGGAGGAGGCAGGAGGAGGAGCCAGAAGAGCTAGGTGTGCAAGGCACCAGGCCAGGGACCCCTTTGACAATGCCTCTCGTGCCCATCTTTGTGTGGGTCATGGGCCAACTATACCAGAATCACCTCATACAAGTGTAAAACTACAGACACTTGGACTCTGGCCCGGTCCTACTGCCTGGGCTCTTGAGGGCTGGTGCCTAAGGACACCCACACCTCCCAGGTCCTGTGATCCAAAGCAGAGATTGAGAAGCACTGCTGGAGACACACTGCTTCCTGCTTCCAACCCAGGGAAAATTCAAGGGCCTTTGCAGGGACAGAGTTGTAGATGAAGGTATATCCTGGGATGCTGAGCTGCCTCAGTGGATCTCGTCTGGATTGATTATCATCTGAACGTGACAAGGCCAGGCTCGGTTAAGGGGCTCATTTACTGAGCACCAGCCAAGGCCAAGTGCCATAGCAAGAACTGGGAAATAGAAAGGAGAAAAAGACTTGATCCTTGCCCATGAGGAAGTCACCTGTGATAGGGATCCAGACACTTCCACCGTGAGGATAACGAAGGCGGGGTGACATAGCCTGCACCTGGACCCTGCCAGAGCCTGGGAGGGGAGAGGGCTGCCCAGACAGGGCGCTGGGCCATGCTGGAGCATGGTCACAGTGCAAGGTCACTCAGGCAAGGTCACAGTGGTGGACCCACAAGGATAGACCTGCCTTTTGTCCTGATGACATTGTAAAACAAACGAGGGTTCTCTTACAGTCAAGGCCAAGGAAGTCTACTTTTTGGAGCAATCTGTGGACAATCCTTCTAAAAACCCTTCCGTCAACTTGTACTTGGAGAACCCTCGTCCTTCAGCCATGGAGGCAAGGCCATGCTCCCTGAGGGGATAACAGCACGGCGCTCCATTGGCAGAGGGTGTGGGCCGTGAGGCTGGCACTGCTGTCTGCTCTGCCCTCGCAGGCTACCCCGAGTGGGACCCCACCCTGTCAAGCCATGTCATTAGTCCACCGGCACCACGGCCAGAGGAGGGAGAAAGAGGCCAAGGGATCCTGGGATCACTGCGAGGTGGGTCCCCCAGGGAGCTCGGGACTCACCGGCCCATGGGCTCTCTGGGCCACCAGCCGCTCACTCACCTGCCATCTTCTGCCCCTCTCAGGACGCCTTTGCGGAGGACACAGCCCTGCTCTCCCTGGCTCTCCGTTCTCTTCCCCTCTGCCTCCCTTTACCCCTGGCAGCCTGTGTGACCCTGCCTTGTCCCTCCCTTCTTCCTCAGGACAAGCACGCGGAGGAGGTGCGGAAAAACAAGGAGCTGAAGGAAGAGGCCTCCAGGTAAAGCCCAGAGGCCAGAGACGTTTCCAGGACGCCGGACAGCTCCCGCAGTCCAGAGCAGCCTCTCCGTGGCCGCTGCTCTCCCAGCGCTGGGGTTTGGGGGGAGGGGGGTGGCCCAGGGGTGTTCCCTCTGCTTTTGGTGTTTGTACATGTAAAGAATTGACCAGTGAAGCCATCCTATTTGTTTCTGGGGAACAATGACGGGGTGGGAGAGGGGAGAGAAGGAGAGAGTTGGGAAAGGAAGGCCAGCTGACGGACACTGCCACACTACGCCCCGCAGACCCCGGCCTGGGCCCCGCCTTTCACAGCTCTTCTGCCTGGACGTCAGGCCTCCAGGAGCCACGTGAAGGGAGATGAGAACCGGGCCGGTGGAAGTTCAGAGTCAGGGGTAGAGTCCGAGTGGGGCGGTGGCTGCAGAGCCTTCAGGATGAGCCCCGCTCAAGGGGGTGGGAGGCCTGGAGGTGTCGACTCCACCCCGTGGCCAGGGGGATGAGGTCTGCGTGTGTGTTAACCATCATCTTCTGATCATCATGACCAATGAAATGTTTCCTTCAAGCCTCCAGTTCTTTATTTCCTGAATTTGTCCTTTGAGTGACTGGCAAAATGTTTTGGAAGGTTTGCCTTCTGCCCATTTGATGGCACGTGACCCTAAATTTTGCCATCCAAGTATCTGAGGTGCTGGGTGAAGTGTTAAATCATGCCAATCATTGTCATAATTGAAAGATTTGTTTTTCTGTCTCTTCTTTTAAACCCTTCTGTGGGCTGTCCCTGACTGGATTGGTGAGAAAAGAAACTCAACCTTTCTTTCTACAGACTAATGTTCTAGCCTGTTCCCCAGGATTCATTGTAAAAGGAAGTTGTCTTAAGTCTATTCAGGCTGCCATCATGAAATTCCTTAGTCTGGGTAATTTGTAAGCACTAGAAATGTATTGCTCACAGTTCTGGTCCAGGATTGAGACACCAGCAGATTTAGTGTCTGGTAAGATGAGGTGAGGGGCTCAGGATGGTGATTCTTGCTGCATCCTGACATGGTGGAAGGGCAAAAGGAGTCTCCTAAACCTCTCTACAGGGGCACTAATCTCATTTGTGTGGATGGAGATGTCATCACCTGAACACCACCTAAGGCCCCACTCTTAATACTGTTGCCTGGGGGTTAAGTTCTCACGTGTGACCCTTGAGGGACATCAACATGGTGGAAGCCTTCCTCACGTTGGGTAACAAAATGTGAGCAGGGAAATGAAGAGCTCGTTAGGGAAGGCAGAGGGGGCCACTGAAACCCAGCAGTCCTGTTCTCCAGGACACCCCCATCCTCCTCTGGAAACAAATGGGGGGCGCAGCCTGCATGGACCGGGTCCCAGGGCATCCCATACCTGCCCTGCACACTGTGTAGTTTTGTACAGACTTGCAAATAAACTCTTTGGTATTGCCTTGTTTCTTCCACTAGTGGTACTGCAATTTAGCTTTATTTTAAGTTAGGATGATGAGGATGACAGTTAACACTGAGGATGCAATTATTAGATACCTGGCAATTTTCTGAACTTCCTCATATATATCATCTCACTTAATTCTCGCACCAACCCTAACAGGAAGTTACTCTTGTTATCTATCATGTAGACAAAGAAACTGAGGTACAGAAAGTGTCAGTAACTTGCTGGAGTCCACACAGATAATAAGGGGGAAGAACAGGGACTTGTATTTGGCAGTGTGCTTCCAGAGTCTGTATTTTTAGCCCTGCACTGTGCTGGTTTTTTGACACTTCCAAACTAGGCTGTGAGTCCTAGATTGGTGTTTCTGAAACTGTGAGTTGTGATTCATTGGATTGTGAGACTAGTTTAGTGGATCCAATATAACTTTTCTCCTTCCCTTCCTCCCTCCTTCCTTCTCTCCCTCCCTCCTGAGCCCCTTCCTTCCTTCCTTTGAAATAGAATAGAAAAAACCCCCATCAAAATGCATTCTGGGTAATAATGGAGGCATCATTGCATGTTTCTATTCTTGATGTTATCCATGTTTTTCTAGGTCACACCATAAACCATATTTCTTACTGGGGATGGCAATCAAAACTCTTTGATGATCACTGCTTTAGAATGAGCATGGAGTTGGAACCGGGATGTCCAACTTGCATCCTGGGGGCTCTGGGAAGCTGCTGTGCTTGAGAAAGTGAACCGTGGTAGCTATGCTGTCAGAACCACGTTCCTCTGGCAAGGACAGGAGGATGACTGCGTGGGTCTGTTTTCCCACATTCACTCCATCAGCATCTTCATCCTCCCACGAGAGCACCTGGGACCGGAGGAATGCTTCCCACTCCAGGTCACCACCCTGTCATCCTCCAGTTTGCACTTCCATTCTCTGCACACAGTTCCCTTGCTTGGGTTGCTTGCTCTTCTTTTCTTAATTCCTATCCATTCTTTTAAATTCCATCCAGATATTAAGTTCTCTGACTCTGCCAAAGTTTCTATTTTTTTATATGCCATGATTTCAGGATAATTATCAACTACCCTTCCCAGCTATTAAACTTGATGCCTCTTGAAAATGGAAACTAGTTTTATGAATCTTCCTGTGCTCAGCAGTGGCTGCTTGGGTGGGATGTGATTAGGGACAGCAATGTTGAGAGTCAGGCGTGGGACTTGTTGGAAGCTTCGTCTGTGTAGCGCTTTTTAGAAGCCTTTATATAGAAGAACAAGAATGAAGGCGCCTGCCCCAGACCATGCAGGTGACTAAAACCCACCTCTAAGGCAGTCTCTGGGCTCACTAAGCCCCGGCCCTTGACACATAGGATGGAAACTCCAATTACGTGCTCAGTGTGAGGTAGATTCCAAGCATTAACAAGCAATTCCTGCACCGCAAGCATTTGCAAGCCAGTAGGGACACACAGGAAGCTACCAAGGCAGTGGCTTTTAAATTTTCAATTTGCATCAAAATGCTCTGAGAGCTCATGAAAGCATAGATTTCTTTGCTGTAGATGTTTGTAAATGAAAATAATTGACTGGGCTTAAGGAAATAGTATCTTTTGAGGATATTGTCCTGGAACCTATGTTTTAGCAAGCCATTTCCTGTTTTTTCCTTTACAAAAAGATTTGATCTTACTTTTAATTGCTAGTTATTGGCAGGATTTATATTAAGTTGGTATACACTAGGATCGGAATACCTGTGACACGCAATTTTACATGTGGCTGGGACACTGCCCTCTCAGCTGTGCAGCTCCTCCCCTGCATTCTCTGTGCCTCCTCACAATCTGAAGCTCAAGGTGTGCAGCCTGGCACCGCCCACTGCAGGGGAACCAGGGTGGACCCAGAGCCAGGACCCCCAGCTTGGGGACCCTCACTTCTGCACTGCCGGTGGCATCTGTTTTGATGGCTTGCTAGATACACTGTTAGCTACATTATTTATTTTAAATCAACACATTGTAAAATTACACAATTTACCAGGAATAACATGGTGTTTTGAAGTATATATCCTAGCAATGGAATATTTGCATATATTCCATAACACACATATATTCCACACGCACATGGAATTTATGCATATACCCCATTCCATTATGGAATTACTAGATCTAATCTCAGGTTTCTGAGAGTGAGTCATGACCACATCTTGGATACAGTGTAGTATTCTGTACATTTCTGTGCAATGAAGTAAGCCGTGGGCAATATCTCCATGGGCTGGAGAGGGATAGGTCACTGACAGCTGGAGTGGATGGAGATGCCTTCTTGGAGAGGCACTTGAGCTGAGCCTTTGAGGATGAGCTGACTTTGAGTGGACAGAGAGGAAGAGACACCTGGAGATTCGGTGGGCACCCTGATGTGCACTGGGGCAGGAGCTGCAAGCATAGAAGTGAATGGATCGGTCATCCAGGAGGAGTGTGTGGAGGAAACTCTTCTTGGTTTCCTCTGACGAGCTGGCAGGAGGAGGAACTGGGGCCAATGGAGGGCAGAATAAAAAGAGGGAAGAGTGGGGTGATCAAAACATGGGGTGAATTTCAAAAGGATTTAGTACAGTAAAAGATACAGTGCCATTGGTCTGCCTTAAAATACTCCTTGCTTCAAACACACTTATCTTTCTTGGCAATGTGTCTTTCACTGTCAGAAGTTTTAAAAACTTAAACATTCATCATATTTTTTGATCACCCCATGCATTTTAAATCTTGAGGTCCTAAGCCAGTGGCTCCTAATAGGAATTCTAGCTCAGGACCTTTTCCCTGCCCCTGGCGGCACTTTGAAAATGTGTGGCAGCAGTTTTGGTTCATGCAAGGAGAAGACATAGTGCTTCTTTTGAGTGGGTGGAGGCCAAGGATGCTGAATGTCCACCAAGGGAGGGTCTCACATCTCAGCTCCCAAATGGAAATGAGAAACCTTTTAGGACTAATCCCTGAACCTAACTCACTTTCACATATAAACACTAACTCTTCCTTCCCCTGATTGGGTTCATAGCTCTGTGCCCTCTGCTTGCCCCGAGTCCTCTTCCTCTATGATCACTCTCAACCATTGGATTTCACTTTCACTTACTCTCTGCCTTCTCTTGGGCAAAACAATACTCTGGATCCACCCTAACCAAGCTTAAAAGCAGGTCTTGAAAGAACCAAATGACTTTTAGGGAAAGTAATTGCCCAACAAAGTCTATGATGGTTGATGGTGGGTTTCAACTCGATTGGATTAAGGGATGCTTGGACAGTGGGTAAAGGATTGTTTATTCTCTGGGCTTCAGTAGGCCCTCAGCCCATCTCTCTTCTGTTAAAAGATGGTTTGGCATTATGAGAATGATCAGGCCACCTGCTGTGTCTGTGAGGGTATTTCTGGAGGAGATTGGTGTGGGAGTCAGGGGACTGAGTGGGGAAAGTCTACCCTCAACCTGGTGTCACTGTCCAATTAGCCACGGGCCCAGATGGAAAGAAAAAGTGGAGGAAGGGCAAATTCTTGTTTTCTCTCTCAGAGTCAGGAAATTCATCTTCTCGTGCCTTTGGATGTCAGAAGTCCAATTCTCTGATTTTTAGGCTCTAGGACTTGTGCCCATGACCTTCTGAGTTCTTGGGCTTTTGGCTTCAGGCTGAGTTACACCATTGCTCTCCTTGGTTTTTAAGACCTTTGGGTTTGGACCAAGACTTCCTACTAGGATTCCTGGGTCCTCAGCTTCCAGAGAGCCCATCTTAGACTTCTTACTCTCCACAATTGAGTGATCCAACTCATCTAACAAATGCTTTCTCATGTGCTTCTTTCTATACATCTCCTATGAGTTCACTCCCTGGAGAACATGCCTGAAACAAGGGTCAAATCCATTGAAAAGAATCCAACAAAAACCAGGGTCAAACACTGTGAAATTCAAAATATCTGGCATCCAATAAAAATCTGTCAGATTTACAAAGAGGTAGGACAACATTAGATGTATTCCATCAAAGCAAATATGGAAATAACAGAATGGAGTGAGCAGACACAGCTTTTGAAATACCAACTAGAAATACTCTTCATGCATAGAACAAGTAATGGAAAACTTGAAAGAAATAGAAGATCTAAAAAGAAGCAATGGAACTCCAAAATAAACAGTAAATATTTCTGGGAAAAACACTGGATGGGATTTATAGTAAGTTAATCATCACAAAAGAAAACCTGAAGTTGAAGAAAAAGAATTAGCAATGATTCAAATGAAGCATAGAGAGGAAAAACAAAAAAACAAAGAAGTGATGAGGAGGGTATTAGTGACCTGTGGAATAAGACAAATGTTTTAATAGATGAGAAATAAGAGTTCAGAAGGGGAGAAAACTGGGGCGGGGCAGCAAAAATTTGAAGAAGTAATGGCTTTTTTTTTTGGTACCGGGGATCGAACTTGGGACCTTGTGTTTGCGAGGCAGGCTGTGGAACCACTGAGCTAAATCCCTGGCCCAATAATGGCTTTTATATTAACAGTGTGAGAAAGAAGTATGAAGTATTAGACTTAAAATCTCAATGAGCTACAAGCACAGTACAGCAAAACCACTCCAAGGAACATCCCAAGCAAATTGTTGAAAAAGAGCAATAAACAGAAAATATTAAAGGCAGTTAGAGAAAGCAGATATTGCATGCAGAGGATTGGTGCTCAGAATGATAGCACACTTCTTGCCAGAAAGAATTTATTACAGTCTCAGTGGATAACCCCAACTCATGTGTTAAAGTGCTGAGCCCCAGTACCTCAAAATGGAGAGGGTCTTTGAAGAGGTAATTAAATTAAAACAAAGTCATTAGAATGTATCCTAATCTGTGTGACTAATGTTCAATAAGAGTCCAAGACACACACATGCCCACACGCGTGACTGTTGACGATGCAGGAAGAAGATGGCCAGCTATGAACAAGGAGAGAGGCCACGGGAGAAACCTACCCTGCCGACACTTGCATGTTAAGCTTATAGCCTCCACAACTGTAAGAAAACAAGTTTCGGTGGAGCTTTACGTGGCAGCCTTTGCAAACCAATGCAATACTGCAGCAGAATTTTAAAGTATTGAAAGAAAAAATCCTGACCATTCTAAATTCTGTCTCCAACAAAAATATCTTTCAAGAGGGAAGGTGAAGCACATAAAGATATTTTTCAGACCATCAATGTCTGAGAGCACTCCTTGCCAGCAGAACTCAAACTTAAAGAAATGATGACAAAAGTTCTTTAGACAGAAGGAAAAAATCTATTAGATTTATACAAAGGACCAGAGAGTATCTGGAATTGTAAATATACATATAGGTAGATCATC